ATTCGTGTTCACGGTGTGCTTGAAGCGTTTCAAAATTGGACCGCACAGCAGCTTCAAAAATCTAGCTTGTAGCTCACCGAACTCGATGATAGAAGGATCGTTTGGAAAATCGCGGACCGCTAGTCTGTAGTGTATCGCAAGGGGTACAACCTCAGCTAATAACATTGTACACAAGCGACCGCTGCGGACGGTTAATTTACGATGGTAGTTTCGTACTGGAGTTAGACTTTGGAAAACCGAGATATGCAGGCGTTTCCAGGCGTTTCCTGTTTTTTTGAAGAGGAGGTACTGCGATCCCCAGTGCGGCCTTAAAAACAGGAAAGCTTGTTTCACTGACGAGTCAGCAATGAAGACCCCGCATTCTTCTTCTGTCAAGTTGAACCTTTTTGGGGTATATCGTCTATGGATGCACCAGCCGGCGTAAATGAAGCAGGAAGGCCGCAACAAACATGAGTTTTCCTCTCCGCCTTCCATTTGGGGTGCTCTATTTATCGCGAGACGAGACGGGACCATCCGCACGTGTCTACCGCGGAAGAATTTTGCATTGTGCACTTGGAAGCACGGCAGAACGACGGCAACCGATAGCGCCTGTATAGTCTGTGGTGGTTCTGCCGTCCACTGTTTGTCGCCGGAGATAATAAGCAAAATCAATATGGGGAGGTTACACAGTACTTTTGCCAAAACCACAGGGACCAACACATTGTGTTGACAGCCGACCGATTTCATCACCCCGCGCCACTTTCCCGGTTCCCGGCCCATCGCGCACATTTTTTCCTCCATCGTTTCCGCGCGTCAACACAAGTTCAACAGCTACACACATGTGTAGGTTCGACGGGTTGGTTGAGGCGAACAGACTGGATGGTTTATCTGAAAAGCCACCAAATGGGCAGCACCGGTGATCTACCCTAAAATTAGCCCAAATTCGTAGGTCTCTGACTGCCCACGCTACAGCGCTCCCTTTCCAGAAGATATCCATGCCGCTAGCAAATATTCCACATGTATCAAAATTCCGCGGGCTTTTCCCATCTTGGTGGTTTCGACTCAAACGCTTAATTCAAGACGCCCAAGGGTCACTTCGTGCTACTCTCTCTCTCGTTTTGTCCTCTATAGCCTACACCACAGGATTTTCCTAGCTCTACCCCTCTCTAGTCTAACCACCCCCCCCCTTCCCCGACACACCATTTTGGACATGCTCCGCACGAACCCGACATGCCGCCTCGCAAGCCATTACTTCCAAACAAACGCCGGCAAACACCGTCAAAACTCGAAAGCAACATCATTAATACAAGTGCGTGACTCCTCTCCTTCACTAACAGAATTCCACAACACAACCACAAAGAGAGGAGGAACAGAATAAAATGACAAAAAATGAACAAAATCAGGCGAGAAGAAGATGTCCGCTTTTTCGGACATAAGCCTCAGCCGATACATTCTCATGGGGCCCGAACGAACACGAAAACATGATCGTCGGACATTCGGCTGATTCGCATGTCCTCGTCGAGGTAGTACGTGGACAGCTTCGCTTCCGGAACGCTGCCTCTGAGGGTGCTGCGGAACATAAACGCGACAGACGAACAACAACAAAATCAGACAAGAGTACAACAAAAAAAAGTCGGGCACGAAGTGGACACCAGCATGCTGATGACTTCAACTGCTTGGGCCTTGGGTGTAGTGTTGACGGGAGGCTAGCTAGCTGTCTCATACACACCACACATGGAGAGCCGTTTATGTCACGCCAAACGTGGGCTTTGCGATGAACACGGCATGTACAACTCAGCAGGCCACATACCGTATTGACACATGCACTTTTTAGATTCGACATGCTCGTGCAAGGAGTGTGGCAACAAAACAAAGGTGGCTGAATAAGGATCGAGGCGAGAATACTTCGGGAAGTTGGAACCCCAAAGACCACAGACATGCAGGTGAACCATACCCGCGCGGAAAAATTTGTTACAGTAGAGGTCCCTGTTGAAGGCCGCTGATTTAAGGCCGGTGAAATCGCTTGGCACGCATGAAACGTTCAAGTCGCCTCACAGTCTGAATACCTAAAAGAGTCGGAAAGATGGCACTCCCCCTAGAGCTACTTTCCAAGCTCGATTGCCCCACAACCAAGCGGGTGCGAGGAGAGTCCGATGCGTCTACAGCAAGCCCCTCGACGAGATGTTCCAAAAGTACCGTCGTTGTTGTTGGCACAATCTTGGTCATGGAGCAAGCAGGCTTTGAACATTGGTCTAGGGGGGATGTCATCTCTCCGCCTTTTTCGGCAGTGCCGAGCGCCCGATATAAGGCCGGTGTTTGCCCTTGGGCCATAGCGGCCTTAAACGGGGGCCTCTACTGGGTTGTGGGAGGCGGGAACGAGGAGAGATTGTGGGGACAGAGGTCCCCTTCCACTGTTATACTCCGGGGTATTCTACGAACTATTTTCCAGAAAAAATGCCGAAGAAAATGGTTGAAACAGACTACAAGGGGGTTGTAAGGGGAGGCCAAATGTTCCATGCCGCTTTACGCCACTTGGACACCGGCAGACATCGACAAGCCCTTCGAAACGTCAAAGTCCCTACGGCATCGTATACTCTTTCAACTCTAGACTCGACAGCCCGCCAAAATCATAGCACTAAATTCTACAAGAGTTAGCACAAAGCAGGATACCTCCCGTGCAATATAAGTTGGCGAGGTGTGTACAAGCAGAGGCGGGGCAGTTCGTACGTAATACAAATCGAAGATGACCAGGGTGTCACGTGCGTACTGGTCTGCCAGACTCATAACCCCAGCGAGGATAACCATGTACGAGGATCATTACCGGGCAAAAGCGCCTCCACCCACCTGTACACCCGCTCGACGGGCACTTCAACGGCATCGTCTAAGAACGCCAGTATGTTGTTGTTGGTCACAGACGTGCTCTCGACCGCGACAGTGAAAGAATCGGAGCTGAAGTGGGATTGCACGAGGCGGACAAGGGTGGGGAGGGGGCGGGGGGATCAACAGAATCAACACACGGCGTCGACAAAACACGTCGCTGCGCGGAGACAACGCTGCAACAGGTGCGTGGCGAGAACTTGACAAGAGCGAGCATACCCGTCGGAACCAACACATCTGCTGCCGCATCTGCTACCACGTCAGTATACAAATCTACCACGGGCTTGTAGCATTGATTGGTCCCAGCCGTGCAGTTAAGCATGTACTCGGGGCTCAACAGCCCCGAATCCTGAGTCAAAGAAACCTAGGACGCGCAAGCTTACCAGTGCACGATAGACCACCGCTCTTCGCGGACCCCAATAGACCGGCGACGCGGCAACAGGCCAAGGAGGTCGTGTGCGTCGTCAACGGGTGGTGCTACCGCGCCGGAAATCGGAAGCCTCGCCAAGACATTGCCAAGACATTCCTCCCGAGTAGGAGACGAGAACCGGGAGACTGCTTCTCGGCGTTCGAGTGTGGAACAGAAAGAAATCACCGAAGCCACAAACAAGACACCAAGAAACGAAAAACAAAACAGGACTACTTCCGCTCTGAATGCCGCCGCATGTCTCCAACACCCCGGCCTACGGAAGCTCGAGGGTTCGCTTCGCTCCTACCGAAGCACACGCGTTATGGCCCGGTTCCGGCTGCGGCGAGGAAGCAGGCGGCAAGTCTCACCTGACGGGGTTGAGCCGTGCCTTCGTGACGACGGTGCCCTTGAGGGCCATCGGCAAGCCCGGAAGCAGCCCCACCTTGAGATCAATCTCCGACACCTGGAAGAGCCATGAAACGAAGCATACGTTCGAAAAAACATGTAGCCGTGATTAATTGCACCGCAGGCTCCTGAAAGTCGGTTGAAAAACCCAATGCACCAGCAGCACGTACCGCGTGCAATACACAGAACGAGCCAACACTTGAGCACCTCTTACGTTTAGACCTAGGCTCGTTTCTTGTTGTCCCTGTGGGGTGACCCAACATCGACTATCTAGGTTTTCGTGTACATGTAGGCTTCTTGACTGAGTACCTGTTCTTTGCCAAGTTGTTGAATTTGCGCTTGAGCCTGGATTTCTTAAATCTCAAGTTCGTAAGTGGGTGGGCGCTCTGTCAACCAACGAAATAAAAATGGGCCGCCCACCCCTCTCCATCATCCCTTCTGGCGCTTCTTGTGCGCTTCTGGGGCTTTGGTGACGAAAAAGACAAAGGCCACCCTCCCTCGCACCTCTCTTCCTCTCAAGAAGGGGGGAGAAAAAACTTGGAAATACGCCCCAAAAATATATGGGAACACCGTATGGCAGCTCCCACAATAAGGAAGTATTCCTCTACACGGGGCAGGGGTGCTTTGGCATCCCATCTCAAAACAAAACGGATGCGTGGTCAAAATTCTTAGCCGCCTCACGACCACACGCGACAGGACACGCCCCCAATTATATATCCTCCTCCCTCCGCCCGCTTCCACCCCCTCCTGCTGACCAAACCCACGTATTCATTTTTGCCAGATCACCGTTGTAGGTGCTGAGAAGCACGATGACCACTGGGCTACAAGTTAGAGGGCCTCTGCCTTGCAGCCCAGTGGCCATCGTGCTTCTCAACAAAAGGTAATGCCAGAGTCCGTCTAGCTGTAATCCGCTCTCACCAGCATAGACTCGCTGATGGTCTGCCTGACCCTGCCGATCTCCCCGTTTGAAGTTGCGGCTCGGTGCAGCGAGAACAAAGTCTCTGCTTGGCCCTTCTTTTCGCCAAACACCTCCCCCAGGGCCATGAAAAACGGGGAGCACCGGAATGGCTGCGTGTCCGTGTACACCAGCTCCCACGCCCCCCCTATCCCCCCCCCCCCCGCCCGTGTCGCCGGCAAAGAGGATTAGGGGGGGGAGGGTAGACCGAACAAAGTTTGAGCGAAAATGTATATGTTAGCGTCCACACGGAAAGGATAACCAAGTCGCGACAGAGTACGGCGTGCGCCGCTGTGTAGATATGAACGCCGGGCATACCTGCAAGAGCCAATCCGCTTTCGTTCCTACAATACGGAAAGGCTGCTGCTGTGTTATCGTTTTTGACTTCTTGCGATGCGGAGACAACCGAACAGTTACAAGGTAACGGCATCGCGCTGACTGTCTCCTCTTGTGTGAAGAAATGATAGGCGAGTATTTTTCCCACGGGCGTGAGCCTGGGCGGTACAATACAGAGGGGTTTATGTTCGCAGTCCTTGCGAGCAGGGCAGTCTGTGACCAGCCAGGCAGTCTGTAGAAGTGCGGGAAGATCGTGGTGAAGAATCTAGAGTGTCAAAACCGCAGAGAGACTACGAGAGTTTCCATCAGCAGGCAGGGAGAATGAAGCAGACATGAAGAGAGAGGTGCCGTCTGAGCGTATACAGCAAACCTCCGGTGTACAAAGAGCCAGCAACGGCGGTCCGTAAAATAACAGTTCATTCTTTCTCTCACGAAACACGAACACACGTGAAGAAGGCCTGCAGCTCACCGATGGTGTTGACGTTAGTGGCATCCGGAGTTGGGTTCAAAGACTCAAGCTGAAAAATCAGGTCCATTGCCGCATCCTTTTCTTCCTGCGTGGCTACTTGGCCTCTGGGGAACGGGAGAAATATCGGGTATACATACACGTAGAGAAAGAGCGAGAGAGAGAAAACAAGAGAGGAAGAGTGTCAAAACCTTGAAACATGCCGAGGGTTGTCACAGGCATGTGAAGGACCATACACAGCCTGAAGTGAAGACAACAAAAACACACAGCGCCGCCACTGTGGAAAAAATGAAAAATGGGTAACTATCGTGGTCTTCTGGCAGGAGGCGCTACGGCTACGGCACACTAAATAACGATGGATGGATGGCGCCCTGATTTTTTGTTCGAGCGAAGCGAGATTTCTAATCTCGCCTGAAATATACCGCTCCAGTCAGGAAAAAAAGTTTGCACGTGTGTATGTTCGCTTTAACTTGGTTTTAGAGTACATGACTTGATTTTAGACACAAGGATGCATTTTTTTTTCGGAGCACACTGTCAGCGGACTGCAGCAGAGAACACACGCACTGCGGGACTGCGGGCGACACCACAGAGCAGACAACACACGCACAGCAGACAGCGTACGCATAACAGGCGACACACACGCACAGCAGGCGACAGCATCTGGGCCCGATGCCGCTGGATTCTCTGTGGTGTGATGAGGTTATGTATTGCTCTGTCGCGCATGTTTTTTTTTTACCGCCGCGTGCAACTGCCAGCAATGTGAGCATAGTACCACATTAGTTCTCGAAACCTAGGACGCCGATCGCCATCGCACCACTTCGAGCGTGTGCTCCATTGTGGTGTCTCTGGGCGTGATAGTTGTGTTGGGCATGGGTGCTGTATGTGGCGAGAGCATCGTGGCGATGTGAAATCCTGTTTGGCTTTTTCGCCTGGCGATGCGGCCCGATTGCCCGGGCCAAAAAAAGGATTTGGATTCCACGCCGCCACGAACATCTTCCCACAAACAGCACTCATGCCTAACACAACTGTCACGCCCCGATATATCGCAATGGAGCACACGCTCGAAGTGGTCCCATGACGATTGGTGCGTTAGGTGACAAAAACTGACTTGTGTCTTGCTGTTTCGCTGGCAGTTGGAAAAACACCGACCAAAACAAGACGCAAGAGGGAACAGGGGGTTCAGCGTTAGTACGCGCGGGGTATGTATGACCACGAAAGCGGGATGTGGACGGGGGGGGGGGGGGTAACCGGTAGGTGAAATATCTCACAACAGCACAGCAGGTAGGTGTAGTTTCAAGTGTGTGGTGTTTGCACTCTGTTTCCGCCCGTGGACGCACATGCCTGACGACAGTTACACCTATCAGCTGTCGCTCGTTGTAGCGACAGCTGGTATATCTTTTCCATCCTCATTTGAGAGCAACCAACGGTTCTTCTTGGTACATGAGAAAAGATATGCTGCTACAGCAGTACCATGGTATAATAGTAGATACCATCTCATGGTTCAATAGCATGTGTGATGTGCGGGATAGACGATGCTGCATTTGTTACGTACTCTTCAGACCTTTACTCACACGCTCTGCGGAATACAGAAAAGATATGCGTAAAAAAATAAAACAGCTACGTGAATGAAGATTGGTAGAGCCGTACCTTGACCTCGCACATGGCACTCACTGCTACCGCCGCCGTAACGAGAGGAGGTGCGCTACGTCTCGCGTCGTCGATCGAGAGAAAAACAAAACACCGAGCAAATAATCCATGCCACATGTCTGTCACCTTTAATCAACCCATCAAGAGCATTATCCATTGCTCCGTACTGATACACACGATGACACTACGGGCCATGCCCTTCTACAGCCGTACAGGACAGGGACGGCGGCTCTGTTCCGCGAGCGGCTCGCACTGGTTATTGCACACCATTCGCACGTGTGCGTTTATACCGGACCAACTACCACCGGGTCTGACATCACACGCCTTGGTGTATTTTTGTATATAATCGCTTCCGCTTTACACAGCAGTCGTTAGCAACACATGTTCCGAACAAATCACCTGTTGGAAGTGGCGGCGATGGACAGAACCTCGCGTTTCATAGTCTCTCTGAGCTCGGGGTTGTCGTCGGCCAGCACCGCCGGCACCGCAGACGACCCCGCGGCGTCCCCCACGTCGCTCGGGAAGTCCCCGGCCTCGAAGCTCATCATCCCCAAGCGCCGCCGCTGCTGCTGCCCGCCGCAACGTCTAGCACTGCTGCTGCTGCTGCCCCAGATACCACCGCCACGTCTCACGGCTGCGGATGCAACCGTGTGAGACGCAGGGTTGAAGACTGAGAAGCCGAATGCAGCCGCTGGTGAAGCCGCAGCGGCTAAGAGGAACGCCACGCGGACTTGCTCCTTGTGCCTCATGCTGCTGATGCGGCGGTTCTTCGCAAGCAGGAGGCCTTCAAGTTGCGCGGGTCAAAAAAGGGTCTGTCCGTCTGGCAATGCAGCACGATGGTTTGGCGGAAGACGCGTTGCAGCAATGCCTCCCGATAAAACTAAAGTGTCGCCTCGAGCGGGTGGGCAACAACAGCGGTGGTGCGTGTCGCTGCTGCTGTTGGGGAAAAGCTAACCCGCAAGAAGTAGACAGGTGAGGAGCTACCAGACGACAAATGTGGTCGGTTTCGTCGGGAACCAAAACAAATGCCACAAACCGGGGATAGTGGAAACCCTCTCCTAGACGAAAAGCGTGCTTCGCAACTTGCCGTGTGGGGGCTCTCTCCTGGTGTAGTACACGCTTAGCAGGAGAAAAGGGGTGCTGTCGAGCACGCTTGTCCTATTCAGCCGTACGTTTCTATCAAGCGGAGGCCTTGGCGAGGTGGAGTGTGCGCGCTCAGCAAAGGAGAGAGCTCAAAAGAGCGGAGGGATTGCACGTCGCCGGCAAACTGCTGTGCAATCTCTCGCAACCGACATGGGCTTTGCCAAGCGACGAGCCGCGGTGATGGGGCTCCTGGTAGCGGGGCTAGCATTCGCTTCGGGTAAGCCCGCCTGGGGGACGGACGGGGAGGGCCTCAAGAACGTCAAGAGCGGAGGGCACCAAAAGGGGGCGCCGGGTCACAAGGGCCTCGACGGCGATCTGCTGGACTTCGACTCGGTTTCCCCAAAGGATTGCGCGAACTACCTCTGTGTGTCCAGCCCGGACAAGGCGACCTACTACATCGAGGCGGGCTGCCCTGGGCAGTTCGCGGACTACGAGCCCGATAGAGACCCGGAGGAACCGGTGGATTCCTATTTGGGCTTTAGCTCCTCTGCAGGGTGAGGAAGTGTTGCAAAGCGTGGTGATTTGGCGTGTCATCATTTGGTTTTTGTGTGGGTGTGCCTCTTCGGTGCACGCTTTCTTTTCCAACCCAAGAATGGCTCCCCCGCGCCCCCGGTGTTTTTCGACGATAAGCCCTGCCCTCGGCGATGATGGGGGAATGGACACGTTTGTGCGGTCATATATACAGGCTGTGTCGATTTTGTTGTCGGAGTGTTATGTCTGTGTATTTTTTCGAACGGAAGGAAATGGAGGAGGTGTTGTACGGCACAAAAAGGTCCCACCAGCCTGCAAGAGTCAGCGGCTCATCAGGCACACACTCATTCAAACAGGTCGCGTTGTCCCTCTCTAATCGTGCTGACTGCTGTAATACTTTTTTATCTTACAAGCGCAACGAAAGCATCAGTCGTTCCTCGGGCCACTCTCTCGGGTTGCCGTTACTCCGTCTAGCGGCACCCACAAATGCTCTCTCGAAAATTGCTCGTGGGTAGATGTAGTGCAAGAGTTGCATCCCCAAAACCTGCGGCGCAAGACGGACGGAATATGTGTAGTACTTGGGTGTGTATCTCACGAAGGATAGTGTTAGTGTGGATGGAGTCAAGCGAGCGGCCATCGGCCCCGGCCATCTTGTGTGGTGCTGAACTGCTATATAGGAAGACGCAGGCATGGTCTAAATCTTGAAACGACTCTGTTTTTAAATTCCACGTGTGCCACATGGGCGTGGTTTCATTGGCGCCGAACCGAGACCGAGTATCGACAGGGCTGCTGTTCTGTTTCATATGTACCGGCATGTGTTTGTTTCTGCAGTTTGACAGTTGACGTATGCATACGACTCCTTGGTTCCCTGTTCAAGATCGTATGAAGAAACACAGCTTGCCGCGCTCAGTATGCCGGGTGCGTTGTGTGCCAGCAGTTTCAACCCGCATTGCGGCACCGAATGGAGGGGGGTGGCGTTTCCTACTTCTACATCACTAATTATCCACAATCCCATGGCCACTAGGCGGGGTCTCAAATATATACCGCTGGAATGGTTGCATGTGTTCTGTTGTGGTCTCTCTTTGCCCACACTTGTTGTGAATCAAAACGCTGCATATACTCGTACTACTGCTGAAGAAACTACTGCTAAATAGCCTTGAAGTGCCGTCTGCCACGTTGTTGCTGACCTTTTCCTTTCGGTTCAACCAAGGCTCGCGCCGACAGCACCAGCTTTAAGGCCACGGGGATGTGGCGGAGTGTCGCGAAGAAATCATGCTGACAGCGCTGTTTTCTCTTTTTGGCTCCACGAAGATGGCGACGCTATCTATGCATCCTCGGTGCTCATGGTTTCCATCCATGCACAGCACTCCACCTGCCGCGGCGGCGCATAAAATCGCGATATATCGCCACCACCACATGTGTACCCCAGAAACTAACTATTATCAGGGAGCATTTTTGTCAGTGTCAACAGCAAGGTTGTGCCCGTTCCGGCAGCAGCCACTGTAAACACGCTAGCGAACCTTCCCTCTCCGCGCTTTTCTTCGCTCAAATATACATGCTCACACCGCGCTCGGTCGTTGCTGTGTCTGTCTGTCTGTCTGTCTGTCTGTCTGTCTGTCTGTCCTTTCTTTTTTTTTTTGCGGCCTTCGATTTCTTGTTACACAGAGCCTCCACAGGCGTGAGCACGGGGACCCTGCTCTCCCTCGCGTGCGCGTCCGGCGTCTTCGCCGTGGGTGTTGGTTTCGTTGCTGGCTACAAGGCGTCTCCGTCGTTCGCGTACATGCGAATCCCGTCGCTTTCGTGAAAGTTCGGTTTGTGAGTCGCCATCAGCGTCAAGTTTACAGGGGTTCAGTGGGGGAGGGCGCGCGGGGGGGGGGGAAGGTGCTCTTCAGCAGCTGGCAGGGGAGGCGTGTTGGAAGCGGCGGCCCCCAAGATAGGGGTGGGGGGTGGGGCGTGGCGAAGGAGGAGATTCGAGGTGCCGCGGAGAGGGCGAAGGGGTGGGGGGGGTGGGGGATACTGCATCATACAGCACCAGCACACGGCTAGAAAGAGAGGAAACACGGATACGCGGCGGAACCTCGGTGTGTGACGTGCAGAGCAACACCAGCCTAGTTCCTGTTGAAAGGAAAACGAGAATGAAACAGAGAAAGGCGGTGCTGGAGGGCTGGGTGCGCAAAGGGCGGGGGTGACCTTGGAGTGTGGCAGGAGCAGCGGTGACGAGCGGGAACGAGTGGCGTGGGGATGGGGTCGCTTGAGCACAGTCTGCGGGGACGGGCGTCGTTTGGCTGCTCTTGTTTGTATTTGTGTTGGGAGTTAGGGTGTGATTTGTAATAGATTTCGCTACGGGGCACTTATGCCCTTGCCATGAGCCGGGCGTGCCTCACCCCCCTCCACGCCTTCGTCGTCAAAGGATCGAGAGGCAGATTATTTCTCATTTTTGTAACGTTCCATTATCTGTATGCGTATAACTCGTCTTCGCTTGATGCTCTATGTACGCGGAGAGAGTTTTTTTTGCTGTGTGGCTCCTAGCAATCGCGCGCGAACCCAGGGTTGGGTGTACAGTTGTGTTTTCCCTTCTTTTGGTGACCCGGTGTGATCGTGTGATCCGGGTTGTACGTGTTTTTGTCTTGCGGCACGAGTCACATGAAACATCTGTCGTTTCAGTCTCCTCCCTCCGTTGTATGCGACATATATCTACCACGTCGTTCCGTGTTTTCTTTTTTTCGCGAGCTACTCATCGTGCCTGAGCCGTGTGTGTTTTTTTATTTTCGTTCCCACTCCCTTCGGGTGTGTCATTTGCTTTCTCCCCGTTTCTCCTTCGGCCGCGTCGTTTTTGACTACGCTCTCCCATGGTGTTGTCACGAAGACACCCAAAAGCCTCGCGTTTGTGCTCTGGCAGGAAAACTCACACCTGACAGGCATAGCTTTTGAATCAACGCGGCGCAAAGGGCTGGTAGACTATACTCGTCGTTGCCTGCTGTCTTGCTTGACTGCGTCATGTTAAACGCGATGCATCCCTTTCAAGACGGAACAAGCATCGTACGGCGGGGTTTCCAAATGGGAAATGCCTCTTCCCGAAACTCCGAAGCCTTTCCAGGCAGAGATTCGCGTGCTGTTTTGCGGTTTTCTCTCGGTTTCCCGAAATCGCTGCTGAACGTCCCTTTCCCCGCATAATAAAAAGCCTCGCGCAACCTACACAGCAGCCATCATGCTGTCAACCGCGATGCCGACAATGGCGTACATACCCCGCCACACCCTGTACTTGCGTGCAGATACATAACGCCCAACTACTACAATCTGCATGGCGCCGTTCTTAGTCCTCAGAGGAACGAATAACCCCGGCCTAGGCCAACATTGGAGGTTCTTGGGTGCGACGGTAACTAACTGTACATGTACGGGATCTTCTTTTGCAAGGCCGGCGCCCGTTTCTGTTGGCCATGGGGACGCTACAACAGTACTGCAGTTCCGACATTTTTCCCCTCGTGTTTGGAGTTTGATTCTTCGAACATAGCCTAGCACGGCGTAATCCAGTCCCCTGGAGGGCCAAAGCCGTAGCCATTAAAACGGCCGTTATTTTTGTGGTAGGCACAGGCAGGTGCTACTACTTACAGCAAGTGAGTCTTTCTCTATCTTGCTTGCTCGGTTTCTTCCTTCCCTTTTCGCGTCTGGTCCACCCGGAAGAATCAAGAAGACTCGGGAGAGCAAGCTTGTCCACCCCGAAGAATCAAAAAGACTCGGAAGAGCAAGTGAGTAGTGCGAAAAAAGACGCGCCATGTCGGTGCCACTGTGCTGGCCCGCATACTTTTGAGCAAGGCGCAAGAGTGTCATTGTTATACTAGACTATAGGTATTCTGTGGGTAAGTGCGCTTATTACAACGCAGGTACATGCGCACCCACTTAGGTACATGCCCTGTTCAACACAACCGACCAAAAATAGCCCCCCAACAGCTGTTGACTACGTACTACTGTTGGAGCCGGGCACGCGCCCTGCCCTGTAAATTCTCATATTTTTCGTTGTTTGCCGCCTGCGTTGCGTATCCTACGTGTGAGGGTGTTCTTGCTTGCGCATGCATAAACTGCGGTAGCCAGGCCTGGACATGTGCAACCAACTGTGTACACGAAGTGCCTCGGGTCTCGGTCGACGCAACATACTCGAAAATCAGCTATTTAGCTTCTCCTTGTGCGCATGCATGCCCAGAGAGCCCTACTGTAGTCAGGAGGCAGCCCCGTGGAATCGAAGCCCGGGAGCGGAGGTGATGAGTGGGAGAGGTGACCACAACATTATAAAAATAAAAATACACTTCATATATTTGTGAGAAGACCAAGACAGACCGAGAGAGACGGAAGAGGGTACGGCCAGAGCAGCAACAACAGGCTACAAGCCCCATCAAGCAGTCGACACCAACAAACAGATGTGCTCACTATTCGATAATACTTGGCCAATGAGACGATGAGGGCAAAGGGCAAACGCGGAGCAGAAACTACACACATAGCAAGGAAACATGAAAAAAACTGTACGCATCAAACACCACACCCTTTTTTGTCTCGACGCTTGCCACGCAATGCCTACAGCAGTAGGTAGGTGGACGCCCGGGGTTGAATCCATGCCGAAGACATTTTGAGTGAGAGGTACTGTATCTCGCTTGCCTCGTATACACTCCCTCCCTCCCAAATATCGCTCCATCTCTCTCTCGGCAGACTTTCCCGCCCAACTCGTTCCAGAGACAAAGCAGTTGATATACCGTAGGATACTTTGCGTGGAGCTGCAATTAAGAAACCAAACATATCTCTCCATCTCTCTCTCGACAGACATAACCGCCCAACTCGTTCCAGAGATGAAGCAGTTGATATGCCGTAGGATCCATGCGTGTGGTGCTGCAAAAAAGAAACCAAATACTAGAATAAGACGGACGTGGTGATGGTAGGTCCGTTGGTCCACGCACCACACACCCGTCCACCGACATCACTTCAAGAGTGCGCGTGGGGATACACACACAAAAAAAAAAACACAGACGTGATGGAAAGAAAGAAAACACACACACCAACGGACGAGTCCTTACCGCAGGACCAAGAAAGCGCGGGTTGATCTCGAATCTCAGCAAAGCCCAAACGACACTCACTGCTGCTGCAGCGGAACCGTTGAGAAGGGGTGGGGGGGGGGGAGGTTCTAACACCAACGGTACTCGCAGTCCGGCTCCTACTACGAAAAGGCAGGACACCCGCGCCCTACATATCCATCCACCCCATTGCGAAGGAAACGCCGAAACTACCAACATGAATAATCAACCGTCCTTTGTTAGGCTGACGTGGGGAACAACGCCTCAGCCCGCCTTGCTCAGAATAACCTATCGGCTGCATCCACCCCCTTCGCCCAAACACAAACACACATTCCTCGAAAAGCTCTAGGTTGGTACCGCACTTGCCTCGTCAAGGCCAACGTCGCACCATGCGGGATAACGCAGGGACAACAACGAACGGCGTCTGTCTACAACAGACAAGAGCTGCGGACCACGCGACACCCACAGAACAACATCGATTGAGAATGCGTCATCCATCGTCTAATGAGGTGCCTGACGACTACCACACACGCGCCCAATGTAGCTACCCGTCGCATCTACATGTCTCCGTTCCTGGAAACAGAACCCGAATCCCTACACGTGCGCCGAAACGGCACCTATCGCGCCGCCTTCGAATTCGCCCGTGTCCATCCCCCCTGCCCGCGCGTGCGCTGTACCACAAACACATACCACCACATTTTGCAAGAAAAATCCAGCATCATAGCAGCCCGCTTCGCCGCACACCCAACAATCTCAAGCCAACTAATTGGTTAGCCCAACCAACCGCCGAGGGAAATACGGCGCCAAGGGACGCCTCGCAGGGAAAGGCACCGGCATGCACACACTAGCCCGTCGCTTGAAGGGGGCGCCCCGATGGTAGGTCGCAACAAAGAAACACACCCACCCTCTCACGCCTGACAACAGCAACACTCGATATCTCGCCAAGAGCTTCTACGGGTCGCGCTTCTCTGACGCGCAGACCACCACGGCCAACGTCAAGACGGAATCGAATCGGGGCACAACGCGGCGGCAGCGCACACACCCCACAACACTCTTTGAGCATCAGAAAACCACCATATCATATTTTGAGGCTCCAAGCGCACCACGATATCATATTTTGCGGTTCCAAGTGCATTGTGCGTGCTGTCGTAAAACCTAGCCCCTGTTTCCCTGCAACCATGCCGCAAGCAACGCGGTATGCACCAACTCAAGCAACACACTCTTCGACCGGCCAGCGAGAACATTCTGCCTCCCGTGCGGTCCGACGGACTTTCTCTCCACAGAATAATAATAAAAAAAAGAAGGCACGTCAGCCGTCACCCTCCCCTTGGCATTCGCACCTCGAGACAAAATAAACACTACGGTATGTACACCGGCCAAGACATGGGTCCCTCCCTTGGAAGAAGTCACAGCACGCCGCACCTCGTCCACACAAAAAAACGCACGCTATTGTAGTTCGCGCGCGAACATTTCCGCGCGGCCAAGCGATACCCACCCACCCCTTTTCTAAATCGCGAACCTCCCCCTATCCTAAGGGGCGCACGGGAGCCAAGAGCAGCGCGCGGCCGTACAGAAATAGCAAAACAAAAACAAAATCATGTAGCAAAAAAAAATCACTCGTAAAAAAAACGAATACAGCAAACTATCTCATCATCGACTCTTTTCGAAATTTCACGTAATCCACACCACCATGCACAAATTGAGCCTCACTAGAAAGACCGGGCGCCACAAGCAACGTTTAGAACCCGCACACCACACTATCAATCAACAAAGAAACACCCCTAGCCGAAAGGGCGGAGAAAAAAAATAATAATAAACAACAAAGGAGAAAGAGGCAACAGACCCGCTCTTCGAGGAAGCAGCCGTTGTTCCTTAACTCAGGGCGACGATTCCTTCGAGATCGCCTGCCCATTCCCAAATCCACCAGTTGGGGTTTACAGTAGTCGTCATGTGGACGTGTCCATCCCCTCCAACCCGGCGTTTGCGCCTTCTTCCTGTCTCGCTGGGGGTGCCGCAGATGGGACGGCGCTGCTGCCTCCCGGCCCGGGAACGATCTGAGGAGAAGAAAGCACGCCGGCGAAGATCGGAAGGGGCCGGGAGAGATTCTCACTGAAATAGTGGCTAGTGATGCCGCTTGTAAGCTCCCAACGGGGGAGCACGGCTAAACATAAGCAAGAATACAACCACCACCAACAACAACGAGCACATTGGATAAGCCGGAGCAGTGAGCGACTACCACGCAAATTTCTGGTACATCGTTGAAACCGCTACTTACTGTTTGTGTTTTGCCCACTTCGGCTGAAAGCAGTGCTGGCTCCGTACACTGGTACTTTGTATCATACGGTGGTTGCAGCGGCCATTACTTTCGAGGCTTTCCCGCGGTACCGCGGTACTGACCCGTAGATTTTTTTTTTATTGTTCCTTGGCCGACCGATTGGCACGGAGGAAAATTGCGACGGAGGCGACTTGACGCACGCACTCGCGCGCGGGACCATACCCGTCGGGAGGCTCCGCGGACTAGAAGGAAAGCATCTTAATTTTCAATTGCCCCGCTTTTTTGAGACGTGTGGCGTGTTTTCATTGGGAAGCCGGTAACTATAGCGTGTTCGATGCTAATAAAGAGAATGATGACACACACACGCTCAATGGAATCCGAGAGCATGGTCTTCGCGACATATTACACTGACGTCCGTTCATTGGTCAACCCATTGGCGCGGTCCACGCCACAGCAATAACGACACACGCACACACACACCTCCATGGTCATTATTAATAGAAGTGTTTCCCGTTTGTTATCCCGCTACAAGACTCGCGTATGTTCACTCGCGAATGTTCATTGGTCAGCCAATTGTCGCGGTCGACGCCGAAAATAAAGACACACACATACACCATGGTCTTTAGAAGCGCACTGTGTTTTTACCTGCTAAACTGACGTATTTTCATCGGTTCAGCCGGATAGCGTGGTCCATACTAACAAGAAAGGCACACACACGTCTCTTCAATGGCCAGCCGGTTAGCGCGCCGTCGATACCAACAATAAACACACACACACACACGCCCATACGTCGATGCTTGTCAAGACAACACACAACCACCCACACCTTCGACACGGCGGCCCTCTTGTGAAGCTGGGCCAGAGTCATGAGCGAGTGAGCGGCGTGCTTCCGCCCCGCCGAGGGCGACCCCCCACCCCCGCCGCCCCTCCCGGGGCGCCCCCTGGCTCCGCCACTGCTCTCGCTCGCGCTTCGGCGGTGGGAAGGCCTGCTTCGCTCGAGGGCGGCCGTCGACATCTGCTTGCTCTGCGCGCTCAGCATCTTGAGTTGGTTGATCACCTGGGCGGGGAGGCCGGTGGAGGAGGGGCGAGGGTCTGGTTCAATCGTAAGGGTGTTTCAGGAAGAGCTCCACCGAGCCATAGGGGGGGGGGGTACTCTTATGTGTTGCGTGCCTTAGCGGTTAGACCATTGACCACGCGTCCTACGCGTCCTCGAGAGGACGGAGCTCTGTTCCCACAGGATCGATCACAGATGGCCAATCGTTCCTTCCTACTTTGCCAAGGGCGGCTCAAAAATGCCTTCCTTATCCCGCCGCTCCAACCTACTTCCTATGCCCCAGTGCAGCCAACGTCAAAGGCGCCTACCCGGCGTCAGGCATTGCGCCCCACACCGAAAAAAAGTATACCCCATTTTGTACCTAAACACGCGGGGTATACCCCATTTTGCCCCAAAAAGGTTTCAGCCACGACCTTGACATGTCCCAGTGTGGGATACTCACTCTTCATGTTATGGATGCCATCATCACGCCCCCCCCCCCCCTCCCGAAAACCTTTCTCATCTCTCTACTCAGCTGCTCTAAGCCGAGCATATCGGTCTAAGCGACGCGAACTGCCCTCCCCCCTCCAAGCTGTATGACAAAATCCAGGAGGTTTTTACACCTACGCTGCTGGAATATTGAATGTTCAGTAGTCAGTATTGGTTCTGCTGTGAGCTACTATACAATAGTCTCAAGTCATAGGAATCCAGTAACTATTACAGTACTGGAATAGTCTTCGGTAAATTGTATTGAGTGACCGGATTATTGTACACACCCATCGGGTTATATCATAGCCATAAGCTATACTTTCATGTTTAGATATCCAAAAGGATATTCTAGGATATTGGGATACATCGGACTATCCGATTATGGGTTGATTAGCAATAGCCCGAGTGTGACCTTTTCCCGTTACAGGCCAGAGGGCTCACCCCTGTGGTGTTCACCTCCCACCTGCTCACTCCTCATCTGTCTCTACCCTTCGGCCACAAAAGCGCCAATCCCAACCATCTTTTGTTTCATCCTATATCCAAGAGACTTCACGATATCTCTGTGAGCCTCTGCACCTACATACACAGTGTTCAGTGCCAGGGATACAACCTACACAGGTTTATTTACATCCCAACATACGTGGAACGGCAAAACAGGCCCACGGTACATACCTGGGAACAGAGAGACATGAACCCGAACGGGTCCCCTTCCAGCTTCTGGAAATCCAGCAAGTATATCTGGTTCTGGACCTGCCGAGATCGGGACACACACGGGGGGCGGAACACACCAAGCACAGACGCCGCAGGCGCGGCACGCGAGAGACGGGTGAGAAAATTCGTGAGCGCCGGCGTCGCGGGGCGGGGAATAGGACGAAGCCGTGCCGAGCATACCCGAGACCAAACAGGTTTTCAGGAAACATATTGTACATACAGTACCCTTAAAGATAAAAGTACCCATTCAAGGCATAACCACAGTCGTTTGTCAAAACGCCGCCGAGAGAAAGGGTGGCGGAGCACGACCAACAGGTTGGTTGGTGTTGGTAATCTGGAGAGGTCGGGATAGCCAAAGGAGATAAATATCTCTTATCCGTGGCGGGGTTCAGCCGGCGTCAGACTGACCGCGCGAACATGATCGCACGCCCTTTCCCACGACTTGGAGGAGGGGCCAGCCCTGCGAAGACACATTTACGACTGCTTCAACACTCACAACACCGCCCACCGCCGCTCTCAAGCGACACTTACTCCGCGACACACGAAAAAACAGGCAACAAAAACAAAAAACACGGACCCCTATCCCGGTCCGACCGACCGCCTTTCCCTCACCTTGTACAGCGTCAAGCAGACCTTGATGACGAAGTCTGGCTTCAGGAACGGGTTGCTCGTGGCCCCGCCGAGCGACCCGGGAGCAGAAGAAGCAGCAGTAGCAGCAGTGGCAAAAACACCACCCCCGCCGCAGCTCTTCTCCGTAGCCCGTGCGCCGCCGGCCAACGCGCTGCCGCCGCCCCCCGCCCGGAGCCCGCTCCTCCACGGCCCACCGTTTCTCCGTCCATCACCGGATGCTGGTGATGGCGGGCTTGTTGTCGCCGGTGCGTCCGTAGGAGACGCGGCCTTCCAGCCACCGCCCGCCGCTACCCCTTTCGCAGTGCTACTGCTGTTGGTCCTGTCTACCCCGGGCGAGAACGCCGGCGTGAAAGACAGCACCGCCGGCCCCGACGGCATGGAAACATCGCCGTCAACATCCCCGTCACCGCGGTTGCCGCCCCAGCCCTCTTCGCACCGTGCGCCCGCGGCCGCGCCGTGGCGTGGCGGCGGTCTAGCTTGGCACTGCCGCTCCGCCGCCGCCGCTGCCGCGGCCTGCCGAGTGCGCGGGCTCTTCGCCCTCACCGTTGTCGTCGGCGCCGCCGCCACCCCGTCCTCTGCCGCCGCTCGCCCAAGCGACGCCGCCTTGTTCGCCGCCGCTCTTGGGTCCTGGTTTTCGTTCCCGTCCATAGCGTCGTCGTCCTCGTCGCCGTCGCCTCCCACGGCCGCCGGAGCAGCAATAGCGGTAGCGTCTTCTCCATCGCCGCCGCCGCCGCCACCGCCGCCGCCACCCGCCGCCGCCGTTTCCAGCGACGCCTCTGTACTTCCCGGCGCAGCACGGTCACCGTCGCTCTCCCCCGTCGCAGCGGGACCATTGCTCACGGAGCCGCCGCCGCCGCCGCCGCAAAGCTCCGAAGGCGAGCCATCACCCCTGCCGCCATCTCCCCGCTGCTCCAGGGGCTGCTGCTTCGAGTCCCCAGTAACGCCGCCGCCGCCGCCGCCGCCGGCACGCCGCGCCGCCGCCGCACCGCGTACGGAGGAAGTCGGGCTGGCGAGCGCGGGCGTGGAGCACGCCGAGTCCACCACCTCGGGGACCCGCTCCAAGAGCGCGGTGAACGGGTTCACGCCTCCGCCGCCGTTCACGAGGAGGCCGCTAGGCGACGCCGACGCCGCGGAAAGCTTGTCCTTGAGGCTGGGGCAAGAGGTCGACACCGAGAGGAAGGGGGCCTTGTTCGGCGGCGTCGGGGTGTTCGGTTTCCACCGGCAGTGGATCTGGGGGCGGGGTTGGGGTTGGAGAGAGCGTGCACAACGGGGGGAGGCACCAGACGCATGAGCAAGGTGGATTCTTCAAGAACAGCGGGGACGTCGGCCACATCAGGACGAAGACTACGCTTCCTAGAACCTTCGACCTGGGGATGCGGGGCCACGTGCTTCGTCGCCTGGGTTTCCTCAACAAACCAGGCCCTTCCGCGATGGTAAGAAATCGAGGGTCTGAGTCCACCATCACAGAAGGGGGGTGGGGGGGAGCAGTGAAATACTGCTTCACGTCCAACGAGCTCCGACAGGGCAATCACGGCAAAGTATTGAGCGCTTATTTTTGTTAGAAAGTATACATAACCTCACAGACAGGCCACCCGTTCGAGATAATACCATAGTCGCTTTCCCACCAGCAGCATGCCCATGGCTTCAAGGTCAAGCCCACCACCAAAAAAATCCACGGCAAACACGGGCGGTACAACGCTTCCGAGATGCACTTAGAGCCCTGGGTTCGTGATGGCAAGGACGGGATAAAAGGAAAAAAAAAAACGCTCGGGCTTATGTACAAGGAAAGCAACCGGCCCCACCTTGTATGAGGAGATCACCCGCCAGTCACAGCCGAGGTGGATGAGTGCGCGATACACCTGCGACGCGATGACGATAACCACAGGGCGAGCGCGCGCACACGTCGGCAAAAATAAAAAAAGGTGCGACTTCAGCGGCTATGACCAAATCATGCATCGGTGGTGGAAATCGTATGTTGTTGGTGTCGTTTGCTCGTTCACACACAAACACCCATCGAGGGTGAGATAACAAAAAGCAACAACAGAGTAGACCCCCCCGCCCCCTGGTCTTCAAGAAGCGGCAGAAGCAGAGGCAACAATACCGGACAATTCCACCACAGCAACAGCCCGGCGGGACGAGACCAACAGCTAATCCGAGGGGGGTACGTGACGTCACACCACACCCAGCAAACAAAAAAAAAACAAAGAAAAATAGCACGGAGAAATACCGAGACACTCGTCGCGTCCCGAACACCACCCGAAACAGCATCAACAAACTACCGTTTGCCCACAACACATAAAACAAAACAAACACACACACCGAAAGTTAAGGAAAATAAGGAAAAATAATTACACACACAGAAAGACTACCCATTCGAGATATATACCCACAGTGGAACGGGATGTGGAAATCGATTGAAACCCCATCCCCTCTCCTCCAAACCCACCTCGGTCATGACGTGCGCCGCCTCCTTCCTGGACTGGATGCCCAGGTACCACCGTCTTCGCTTACCCGCACCGCCCGACGAGCTACCCCCCGCCCCCACCTTCGCGGGCTTCGCGGGCTTCGCGGGCTTCACGAGGGACGAGGTGGAATCTCTCCTGCCCGTCGCCGGCCTAGCAGCTGCAGCAGCAGCAGCAGCGGCAGCAGCAGACGCGCTGCTCCCCGGCTTCTCGGACTGCGACCGCGAGGTTAGCACCAAGGGCGGCGGCGCGGGTCCCGGGACGGAGCCGGGGCCGCTGGTGGCGGCTGCCGCGGTGGCTGTCCGTTCTGCTGCCGCTGCCGCTGCCGCTTCTGCTTCTGCTGCCGCCGCCGCCGCTGCCGCTTCTGCTTCAGCTTCTGCTGCTGCTGTCGAGGAGTCTGAGGAACC